CACGTGGGTGGGGAACGTTACCCTAAATTTTCAGCTTCCTAGCTTTTGTGGTTCCTGAGTTGAAAGGTGCGGACAAGTTGCTGCGGACACACACACACACACAGACAACCCCGTAACAATATGCGTTTTGTACTGCTGTTACACAGCACAAAACGCATAAAAAGATTAGCCGCCCGCACTAATGAGTCAATGCCTCTGTGCGTTTGTGATTTACAGTATGCATTCAAGTTTCGCAGCAGATGATTGGGCGGAAGGTGACAGCGATCACACCAGCTCTGCCAATAGTCTCCGAGTGTCTCTTTCTAACGAGTGCAATGAAAGGCAGCCAGTGTGCATTTATTGTACTGCTCATAAAGGTACTGCATTCAACAGTGTACAAATGCTTTTCAGTGCCACGAAATCAAAGGAGGCGTAGACAGCGCCTTGTTTTTTATTAACTCGATGAAAGCGATACACACCTCCAACTGCAAACATTCGTGAGCACATTTCGCAGAACGAAGCAGATGCCCCCTCCTGCTATGCATTCTTCTTTTTGATACTCATTGTTTAGAGGATGTTGGAGCAGAAACATAAGCAACAGAACATACGAAGACTGCCTTACTCAAGCTCTGAAAAACAGTACAACAGCCCTGTAATTTCAAGGAAATCCAGAAAAGCTTCGTCTGATTGGGGCACAGGGCAAAATTTCGCCCTCTCGAGGCCGGCATACCGCATACAATGAGTGCGTCACTTTCACGCAATTTGGGCTCCTTTTTATTTTGCTTAATTTTGTACCCCTCTGTCCTGCTCTTCTTGGCCAATTTCGGGATTCCCTGAGAGAAAATTTCATCAAATTTGAAGCACTCTTGAGTGATAAATGCTAGAGAGCATAATGAAGTGAAAAGCAGCACTATCCTAGGGCCGAAGCGCAAGCATTCCTTTCTGCCTGTAGAGAAGCTAGTTCCTCTACGATTCGTTCATTCGTTTCGATGGCAAGGTAGTATAGAACGTGGGGAATTAAATTCCAAATATTTTAACATCGTGTTTTTTATGGTCGCTTTACAAAAATTGACAAGAATTCAAATCTGAGGTCATAGGTCAGGAAGAAAGAAGAATTATGAGTTGATTGTAAGCTTGTGGCCTTACATACGGTCAGCACCTTTGTTTCAGGTTTGTATCTTTACGGCTTCAGTTTATAAAAATTAAAAATTAGGTGGACATTACACAGGCAATGCTGCTGTGCTTTTGGACGTCGGGAAGTGAGGCTAGGCAGGCTTACGTGTAGATGTCACTGCGTTGCAACTGGAAGGTTCCATTCTGAGCCGTGGCCACTTCAGTGCGAGAGGCTTGTGGTGACCGTTTATTTCTCCTCGACTTTTCAAACCCATCAAACGTGCTCAGTGAAACAGCAGACTTTTTACAATTATTAACCAAAACGCAAAAAATTTGGCTTTCGATACTGACGGTTGAATTCCTCGCTGGGCTCTCTGCCAAAGCGCAGGAAATTCGGTTCGCTTAGTTCCAATCGTTTCCCGAATCTCAGGAAATTTGGCTCCATGGATTTTCCAAATCTCAGAAAATTTGGATCCATCGTCCGGCCTGAAACAAATTTCACTGCTCACTTGATAATTTACCCGGTGCTTTGGCCACTGGTTGTTCAGAACAGTATGATCTCGAGCGAACGATTCTCACTTCAGAAGCCTGCCACACTGGTTAGCTTGGGCCATCCGAAGTAGCTGTGGGAGCTCCAGGAGGCTGTATTCGTTTTGCGGGGCCATCCCGACCTATTAGCAAATGCTTCAACTCTATGGCAACTTTTCCCCAAGCACGGCTACAGTGTGTGCGCGGGAGCTATCTTAGCTTGGCGCTAATTAGTTTAGCTATTGTGAAGCGGATCTTTCCAAATCGTAGCGCTACTGAAAGGCAGTAAGCTGCCTATCCAGTTCGTCAAGTGCCATGAGAGAAAAATGCACCTGGAGCACGTCCAAATCGCAGGAAGTTTGGATCAACGCCTTTTTCGCTGAATACAGTTGGTGACGCTGAAAGTGAAAACAACACTTTTTGCGTTTGCAGGAGGAAAATTCTCCCGCATCGAGCAAGCATGAATACTCGCTCAACCCGTCCTCCCTACTTATTTCAGCTCTGAACTGGTTTTTCCGACGGATTCTTCCGTTGGCGAAGTCAGTTCAAAGGGTCATGCATTATTCCGCCATAAAATTTGATCAAGGGGAAAAATCGCCCGCGCGAGTAAAAGATGCAAGGTGCTGGAAAATGTTCACGAAAAAGTTGCGAAAAAAACATTTATGGTAGGAAGCGCAGGCTTAGTGGGAATTTGGCCAAGACAGCAGCAATTCTACCGAAGGTGCATAAAGCTTGTTAGCAGAAGCGCAACACTAGGCAAACGAACGTTGAAATCAGCATCAAAACGCGAAATCGTGGTGAGCACGGAGAATGGTACGTAGGAGCGTACAATAGAACAATAACTAAAAATGCCAAATCTACATGAATGTAGGGTGAAAATACGAGAGTGTGAGGTGCATAATTTCAACCGAACAGGTCATTCTGTCCGAAGGATTGAGTAATCGGACCACCTATTCCTTCTTCCAAAACACACGTATATTGTGTTGGTCAGTTTGAAAGAGAAGCAACATGTACCAGCAGCCCTGCCGAAGCGGATGAAATTCGGTTTTCTTTTTTCTGTTTTGCCGGCCAGCTCGCTGGTATGTCCCTCACAGTTCTCACCGAGATACTGCCGTGCTTCAGCCTGTTCCGAACTGGAGAGCAGTTTCAACAACTGGCACAAGTCCGACGTGCTTCCGCCTGTGCAGCAGTCACTTGACACCTCAAAATTTTTTGCTTAGCTTCAATTAGTTACAGAAATTGTGCAAACAAATTTAACTAATTGACGGCTACTTTTTATTAACAATCGCATCTGCTGATATCTAGCAGCTTTTCTGGCCTCCAGAAGTTTTTGTGTGCAAACACAGTTGTTTAGTTTACTCAAACCCTAGCCAAATGCTTTGGGTTTTCAAGGGCCTGTCGACTGGAAATAATGCAGTTTTTCCTTTTTTTGGGAGAAGGCATATTTATGTTTTAAATGGTAAATATTCAAGTTGGGAAAAAAGCAAATGAAATGAAAAAAGTATATCTGGGCTTATGCTGGACCCCGCAAAGCTTCGCCAGGGCGTATCGCGGTTTATCAATTATCATTATATTCGGTGCAGAATCTCTTGTCTCCTTACCTCATTCTCACTAGCTGAAAATATATGGTTCTACACCCAATCATTCATTCACGAACTGAGGTGCAATGGGATGCAGTAAGAGTTACCTGCGTTATGCTGCATAGCAGAAGTACGGCGTAGACAGGGATCATAACTGAACGCTTCTAGAGCGGCTGCTTGTCTATTTATGCGAGAAGAGGTGCTGATCAAATTAGGATGCTTGTTCAGATATGCCACATGTGTCCCCAGGCAGCCATTAGCTCCTTGGATTTCGCTTTTTAAGGCACTACGTGAGGCATACATGCTTCTGCATCGCATCAAGGCACCTTCCCGCACTAACCCCTCCAGCTTTTGTGGTGCTGCAAAACCAACACACTCGGAGGAGTTCAGAGTTCTGCTATTTCACCCATTACATCATGTTCGAGAAGCGATTAGAATTCCAACAGCAAGAGGCTGTCTTCAGGAGGGCTCTGTGTGGTACACCAGCAACAGGCATGCAAAAAATCTCAAAGCATCTGGGTACTCTTTGTTTCGAGCTCCAAATAAACAATATTCATTTAGCACCTCCTAGATACTGACTGACTAAATTCGTCGCATACGCTATCACTATTTTTGGATTTTAGCTGCTTTGTCTACAGTTTGGCTTTCAAATCAGAGGGCTTGGAGCTACTCGTTGCGGCCGATACGAAAGTGCTCATATACGACAGCAGTGATGGCAATTCACTGCAGTTGAAAGGTTTCGCTATGCCTTTTCTAATTTTCAGAGATTTGCCCCCGATTCACAGGTACAGCGCTCTTTCTCATTCATTCAGGATATAAGGACTTTATGTACGCTGCTGCTTTTGCTCATAACGGCGAAAAAAGGAAATGGGGAGGAGGGGGGGGGGGGGGGGGGAGGGGGGG